AGTGCCGTGTGGCTCCTCACCATAGAGCTCACAACCAACTTCACCTTTAAGTTTGGCACCCTCTTGACTTTGTGGTCCTGGCGTCGGTGATGGCCGCTGCCACGGTGCTTGGTGGTTCCCACCTAATGTTTCGTACTGTTGCCTAGTTAATTTGGTGTCATGTGTGTTAGAAAATTAGGCATTTTCATGGTCAATTTAATCCATAAATAAAACATCAGTAGGTTCGTGACGACATATATGTGTATGTGTATATCACTAACAAATGCTATAGCATGCAAGTATGGCATACCGATCGATACAGTAAGTACGCAAAGTACGGTAATCAGAGAGTTAAGAGTGTACCCAGCGGAGGGTCTCATGCCGAGGGCATCGAGGCTCCATTCGCACCAGATATAGTGTGTTGCTCGAAGTCATGAACCACAGTCGATGCAGGAAGCTGTTCGTAGTGCAGTCCCATGAACGATCACTAGGAAGAAGACACCTTGCTATTCCGCGAGCGATCACCAGGAAGAAGACGTCTGCGACGTGGACGACCAGTCGCGGAATCGCTCCCAAAAACCTAATCGCCGCACACCCCATGCAAGGTTCGCAGGCGGACGAGGGTTTCGGAGGTACCTGCTCTCCCATAGCTCCATGCGCGCAGAGGTACGAGACGGGGAAAACCAAAGGGCGGCTAAGATGTGGTCTCTCGAAAGCGAAGGGATAATTGGACTAACGGAGGACTTCTGGTTTTATGCCTGCTGCGGGCAAGGAGAAAGCTAGCCAAGGAACTCAGGAGACGGAGACACGAAGAGACGGTAACTGGCACAATCAACTCGCCCTCACCTAAAAGAGAGAAACTCCCGTAATTATGTGGATTAAGTGGCAAAACCTGGCCACGCCCGACCGTCCGCTCGCTCGCCGCCTGCCTACCTACCATGCCATGCCACGCCCACACCCACGCCCACGCCCATGGCCTCAGCCTGGGCCCGGCCCGACCCAGCCGCCGCCGCCGGCGGCGGCGGCGCGCGCGCGCGTGTGGCACTCCTGTGTCCTTTTCTCAGCTTCTCAATTAAGATGGATAATTTTCAACCAAATAAGCTGAGTCAACGTTCAGTCAAAATCCCGTACGGTATTAAACCATACAACGCTTAATGTTACGGACCATAGAGTTTTATTTGATTTATTAAATATTATATAGGTCAAGCCCATAATATATCCAACAATCCCCACCAAATTCTAGGGTTTGTAATAAAGTAGTCTAAGAACCACATTTCTTTTATATACCAGTGTTTCGATGAAGACTGTTAAGTTAAACATCCATCTAGAGCAATAGTTTCACTCAGTCACAACTGAACAATAGACTAAGCCTTGAATTGACAGTTTTGTGTGAGGTGAATGTCACCAGTGCCTTTCATGAGTATTTACAGATCACCCAAATCTCATAGACTGTGACCAGCAGTCTGACTCATATAGGTGTGTTCCTCAAAAGATGTCATGTAGGACAATATCTTTGCTTTAGCAAGCCACTTGGAACACATTAAGGTAAAAAACAACCTACCTTACAGAAAGGAAAGATATGCATCAGAAATGAGTCTTACTAATGATCTTTTCTCATAATTTACTACTAGCTTGTTTCACCATCCTACTTCAGGGATCTTCGATCATATAGAACAGGTTACCACTATAGTAAATTTCATGTGGGTCTCAAACCCATCTCTCTCGATGCACTTTCTATCACATTGCATGATAGACCCTTAGTGAATTGATCTACCAGATTGTTAGACGTATGAATATAGTCCAACGCTATTACTCCGGAGTTTCTCAATTTTCTGACAGATTTTAGTCGTCTCTTAACATGTCTTGTGGACTTCATGTTATCCTTAGAATTATTAACCTTTGTAATCATAATCTGATTATCACAGTTCATAGAAATAGCCGGTATGGGTTTTTCAATAACCGGTAAATCCATAAGGAGATCACGAAGCCACTTGACCTCAGAACCAGCGGTATCTAATGTTGTGAGTTCTACTTCCATAGTAGACTTCGTTAAGATAGTTTGCTTGCAAGGCTTCTAGGAAACAACACCACCTCCAAGAAAAAACACATATCCACTTGTGGCATAAAGCTCATCAGCATCAGAGATCCAGTTGGCATCACAATAGCCTTCCAGCACTGTCGGCAGCCAAGAACTTTTGCTCCTCCTCAGGAGTAAATTGTTCAGGCTTCCCCTGTGCGGTGTGATAGCAGTTCATAGTAGTCAACCACAACACCATCTTGGCACGCCATATCATGAAATTTTTGCCATCAAAGTTATTCGGCTTCAAAGCAGCAACAAAATCACTGACAGAAAATTGCCTAACATTAGGTTTTTGGATTGTTAGAAAATTAAGCATTTTCATGGTCAATTTAATCCAGAAATAAAACATCAGCAGGTTCGTGACGACATATATGTGTATGTGTATATCACTAACAAACGCTACAGCATGCAAGTATGACATACCGATCGATACAGTAAGTACGCAAAGTACGGTAATCAGAAAGTTAAGAGTGTACCCAGCGGAGGGTCCCATGCCGAGGGCATCGGAGGCTCCATTCGCACCAGACATAGCGCGTTGCTCGAAGTCGTGGACCACAGTCTATGCAAAAAGGTGTTCGCAGTGCAGTCCCACGAACGATCACTAGGAAGAAGACACATTGTTGTTCCACGAGCGATCACCAGGAAGAAGACGTCTACGACGTGGACGAGCAGTCGCGGAATCGCTCCCCAAAAACCTAATCGTCGCACACCCCATGCAAGGTTCGCAGGCGGACAAGGGTTCCGGAGGCACCCACTCTCCCGTTGCTCCGTGCACGCAGAGGTACGGGACGGGGAAAACCAAAGGGCGGCTAAGATGTGCTCTCTCGGAAGCGAAGGGAGAATTGGACTGACGGAGGACTTCTGATTTTATGCCTGCGGCGGGGAGGGAGAAAGCCAGCCGAGGAACTCAGGAGACGGAGACACGAAGAGACGGTAATAGGCACAATCAACTCGCCCCACCATAAATGAGAGAAACTTCCGTAATTATATGGATTAAGTGGCAAAACCTAGCCACGCCCGCCCGTCCGCTCGCCGCGCCCACGGCCTGGCCCGGCCCGGCCAGCGGCGGCGCGCGCGTGTGGCACTCCTGTGTGCTTTTCTCAGCTTCTCAATTAAGATGGATAAAATTAAGATGGATAATTTTCAACCAAATAAGCTAAGTCAACGTTCAGTCAAAATCTCGTACGGTATTAAACCATACAACGCTTAATGTTATGGACCATAGAGTTTTATTTGATTTATTAAATATTATATGGACCAAGCCCATAATATATGCAACAATGTGTGGGGTTCCGATGAGAGTTAGCACAAGGGTCACAAAAGTTTATATAGTTCAAGCCGGGTGCCCTACGTCTAGTGGTCGGGTGAAGTATGTATTACTATGTCCCGAGTGCTCAGTGTGACTTGAATGTTTGTTCATTGAGTTGTGTGTTTGATCAGTGTGTTTTGTCTTGGATTGTGCTCTCCCAGTTGCTTGGAAGAGGCTCCCTATTCTCTCTTATATACCTGAGGGGATGTGGTTACAAAGAACATGCAGTAGATAGTGTTGTCATTCGTCTTCGTGTCGTCTCGCCCAACTAGAGTATTGTGGTGGTGACTCTTTAGTATCATCTTGTACTTCGGTTGGCCCCCTTTGGCAGGACTCTGACTCCAGTCTCACGGCTCCTTGCAAGGAGCCCTACCGAACGGCCATCTAAAACTCCTTGCAAGAAGCCCTGCCGAATGGCAATTTAGAATATCTTTGCAAGGAGTCCGGTGAAGCCGGAGCCATTTTTATATAGAGGAGCCAGACCTGCAGAAATATGATTTCTTCTATCTCAAAATAGTGTCAGCTTCATCAGAGAAGCTAGTTCAAGGAGAAGCCAAAGTCGGAGCTCTATCAGACGGCGTCTCATGATTTGCAGTTGGATTCGAGGTGATGGTAGAGGCCGTGCAGCCTGCGCTGAGTCAGGTGGCACATCGTTTGCCGTACTAGTGCAAGATACGGGAATTGTTTGGGTACAATGGCTATTGTATCTTCAGATAATTAGATATTTTCTAAAATACAGAAGCATAAAATAAAACATAACTTTTTAAAGGTGTCTTTTAACAGGGGGTGTACATTTCGTATGTCGGTATGGAATCTTTTAACGGAGACTTCATGTTAATTTTCTCAAATGCTAGAAATTCTCATGTTAATTAGTATGACCATTGGATCTATTTTGTTATATAGGAAATTATCCAATACCATTATCTATATCTATATCTATGCCTAATAATAAAGAGGTAAAATTTTAGCTCATTTTTTTTTGTCCATCTATTTTTTGATCCGTCTCCATCTAACTACCGGACAATGGAGAGTATTTTTTGTTCGGACTTATATATATAACATGTGCTCATACGAGTTAAAATAGCTCGCTGTCTAATACGGAGTAGGAATCCAAATCTAAATAGATTCATTGGATCCTGAGTACTCTAAATAGAACTCTTAATAATCAAATAGAGAGCATCTCCAAGAGTTTCCTACTTTTTTCTCCTAAAAACTTGTAGTTTGACAACTCCTAAAAAGATTTGGGGAGAAAAAAAGAAGGTCATCTCCAAGAGTTTCTAATAAATGGCATATAAAAAATCAAATTTAGGGTCCACATGAATTATGTTGCGGCTTTTTTTCTTTTCCATCACGGGAAAATACAGGGCGCGCCCCTTGTGTGCTCCGACTCCGACATGGCCGGCTTGTCGCCATCGACGCCGTCGGCATCTCCGCTGGACCCGACACCGACAACGAGCGCGTCTCCTCTTCGCCCATAGCAGCTCTGAGATTTTTCACAAGGAGCAGAGGGGACACCGCACTAGCCCGTTCTCGTTGCACTCGGGGCACCACCTGAAGGTGCCCACCTCCTCAAGGAACACCTTGCAGCTGCCGGAGCATTCCTCGCAGGGCACGAACCGCACGCCGCCGCAACTAGAGCACGCCTCCAGGGCAATGCCCTTGCCGCCGGAGCTCAGCGGGGGCGCCATCTCGCAGGCCTCGAGCGCCTTCGACAGCTTGCCGGCCTCGTGCATCCGGCGGACCTCCACGGCGTTGCCCAGGTGCCTGCCGTCCGCGAACACCTGCGGGATCCTGCTGCCCGCAGTGGAGCCCAGCGCGCACGATGCCCGGGAACCTCTGTATCTCGCGCTTCTTGACGCCCACCTCGTCGCCGCCCCCGCCACTGCCCAGGCCGTCAGGCTTCTTCATACACTCCTTGATGCCGGGGTCGTCCGGCCGCGGGGGTATCTCATCCAGCTCCTTCCGGAACGCGGTGATGACGTCCGGATCGAACTCGGGCGATCCTAGGGCCAACTTCTCCAGCCGCTCCTCGCCGTCGGCGTCGCCCTCCTCGTCCTTGTCATCGAGGCCGTCCATGAGCTCCCACACGTTGATCACCTCGGGCTCGCGGACCTGCGTCTTGGCCGGCGACACTGCCAACTGTTTCTGCCACCGCATCAACTGCGGCTTCAGCGGCAGCAGCAGCGTCTTCGCCGCTCCGGCAACTCCGCCGTCGTCGCACCACTTCATCATCTCCTCCTCGTCCTGGTCGAGGCTGAGCGACCCCAGCGTGGAGGACTTGAGCGCGACGGCAGGGAGTCGAAGGATACGCGCGAGGCTCAGCGCGTAAAGTTATGCAGATAAGGGGGATTTTTTCCAACTCCTAAAATATTAGGAGATTGTATTATGAGTTGTTGGAGATGGATTTTTTATGGATCTTTCTAAAAACTTAGGATTAGGAGGAGGTTTAGGGATCTCTTGGATATGCTTTTACATACTTTATTTTGCTCCGCGTTCTTTATTTAGTTATCTGTCAAAAGAAAGGCAAAATATCACATCCATGTGTTTCTTATTTTATATTCTCAATCCGTTTACAAAGGAAGCAAACTCCAACTTTTATCTCTTTTTTTCTTCAAGCTTATAGAAGTCTATTTTACAGGAACCTTCTTTCTAAATATTTTTGTGCAAATATTATGTAGTAGTAACACGTTCGGATTCGAACTCCGGTAGAACGACAGAGATATACGGTGTTTATAGACCGAGACAACATATATGTATGATAATATATAGATATATCACGCCGTACCCATTATTGTTATTTTGTCAGTTTGATTTATTGATTGAAGCTCATCAGGCGCATTAATTTACCTTCAGGCTCAGATGCAATTAGCGGCGGCTTGGTGTACTGGTACGACCTCATGACGTTGAAGAGAAAAGGCAGGGGGCACGAGCACCACCACGGCCAACGCGGCGTCGTGGTGTGCATGCGAGATAACAAGCGTGGTGTGCGCCGCGCCAATGGCACTGTGCTCGTAGCCGGCGGCGGCCTCCGCATTGTCGACAGGAGCACCTTTCGCCCAGGCGACATCATCGTGTAGGAGTCGGACGTCGGTCGCCAAATCGAGGTCGTCATGGGAGTCTATAGGGCACTCGACCTGGTTCGCTTTGATGACGGACGACGCCGGCAGCAGGGTGTCATGTCGAGGACATCGGAGTAGCTCCGCCATGACACTGGGCTCATCTTGGGCAACTACGTCGTGTCTACCCCATGGCTCGACAGGGTTGCCGAGGTGTCCCTCCAGGTGGATGTGGCGTTCGACGACAACGCACTTTGCACACTGGCACAGCGCAAACTGGTAGGAGACCAAGCAAAGGACGGAGGAGGACAACTAAAAGCATGACATGCGGAATGGCCGGTAGACAAACAATCTCTTGTAGTCGAGGCAGCGCGTCGTCGGTAACTACCCGTCAGTCTCCCAGGCGTCCGATGGATTAAAGGCTACGGGAAGCCAAGTCACATCAGGGGCACCGTCTCCAGAGCAGACGTCGCTAGCATGCTTGTGCACTGGGTCGCCTCCATGCATCTGAGAACCAACAAAGCATTTATCCAGGCCACGCGAGCTACCACATGGTTCCGGCCCAGGCTGCCTGAAGACACTTCGTGCGTGTTGCCATGGCCACTCCCGCATGAGCGTTGTTCCGCGGTGCAGTGCCGGCACAGTTCCGCACTGTGGCCATCACACTATCGGCCTAGGTTGCATGGCCATGGTCAGTGACACCATGCGCACGTGCTGCCGTGACCGCTGGTTCGAGCCACCCCGCGGTGGCCGTAGTGTCTCGCGTGCGGCTCTGCCGTAAAACTATGCTCGTGCCGCCTGCAATATAACGAATTATAATCCTACTGTGACGCACGAGCATATTTGCTAATCTATACCTAATAATAATCTATACCAAATAATAAAGAGGCAAAATTTCTAACAATTTTTTCGTCCATCCATTTTTTCCGTCTGCCTCCGGCCTTCCCTAACTGTCGGTACTCGAGAGTTTCTTCCGTCTATACTTATATGGCCCTAGATAGTTAGGACAAATAGATCTCTCCAAGCCTGAATAAACTAAATATGAATATGAATCTGTCGGATATCTATACCCAGGTATCCGAGTCAAAGGATTAATGAGCGTCACGTCGGCTCATCCGATGGTTAAGGACGCAACTGCGGCCTCATCCGACCCCCAGGGGCTGGGCCATGCCTCGTCCGACTCTAAGGATGAGGTTTCCGCCTCGTTCGACCCCAAGGCGTGGGCTCTGACTCCTCCGACACCAGGGGGCGGGCTTCGACTCGTCCGGTCCCACGGGGAGGGCTCCGCCTCGTCCGACCCTTGACGGTCGGATTCCGTCTCGCCCGGCCCCCAGGGCAAGATTTCTGCCTCGCCCCTTCCCTGGGGTCGGATTTGCTACCGGACAAAAACAGTGGTCCCAGGGTGGGACCCAAACCACTTCAACCACTACGGCGTGGAGGGACACGCCCGGGAGCACGTCTCGGGCGCGTCCTGATGCGACTGGCGGTCGCATCAGGCCATGCTGGGAGACTCACGTCGCCCACCACGTCAACAGGCCAGCACTGTAAGGCCAACTCACTGCCTAACCACCGTCCAACGTTAGTCAATCGGCGTTAGTTGACTGGCACTATACCGCCAGCCCCCCGTATGGCCTCTGTCAGGGACCCTTTGACCATTCCGTCCACTCAGATGGGATGGAAGACAAGAACAGCGCACGATGCCCACACGTATGCTGCAGCGGCCAATAGGACCTCGGTGCGACGCCGCTGCCACCATGATCTACAGGGTCAACGGGACCCACGTGAAGAGGAGGACAGGGCACCCCTGGGAGCCATATTTCACTTTCTTTCTTCCCTCTTCCCTTCTCTCGGTCTCTGGTATCATGTTCTCTCCCCTTGGTCTATAAAAGGGAAGGTAGGGCACCGTTCAGGGAGGGAGATCGATCAACCGATAGATTGAGCAGTAGAAGCATCGAGCAATCGAACCACAGAGACTTGGGAGCTCCTCCCTCTATCCCCTGTTTGTAACCCCTACTACAAACTCAGTGCTGGTAACACAAACAGCCCAAAACTGGACGTAGGGACATTCGGCCCAAACCAGTATAATCCTTGTATCCTCTTAGCACACCATCCGGGTCAGACACGCAATATACAAATTTACTAGTCGGCTGTTCGAAACACTGACAGTTGGCGCGCTAGGTAGGGGCCTTTTGCGCGTCTCGACATCAACACCAGGCCTCGGATGGATAATCGCAATGTCAGATGGGTCCCGGGCACGAGCGTGCGCTTGGGGAACCTGGACTTTGTCGTCACGACAGAGGGAGAGTTGGTGTGGCCTCCCCCTGCCGCACAATACCTCCTCTTCACCGGCCTCGACGCGATCGCCGAGGCACCCGAGGAGCTGCAGCTGCCTACACCGGAGGTCCGCACCCCTAGGAGCAACCAACTCCTCAGCTTCAACTATGGAAGGTCGTGCACCGTGGTTTCGGTGCATGAGCGTCTCGAGCCCCACCGCGACGCGCGCAACACCCTCGATGCTCGCAGACGCGACACGCCCTTAGAACAACCCGACGAGGACGGACCGGTCTATTAGGCCCAACAAGGCGGTGGGCCACGCACCGCGGTTCTGGTGCATGAGCATCTCGGCCTCCACCGCGACGCCCATGACACCCTCGACGCCCGTATCCATGCCTGCGGCGATGCGAAGGAGGGGGCTAGCCACGGCTACCATCCACACCATGGAGGACACTATGACAGCGGTGAAGACCGAAGCCTGAGCCCTGACTTGATGGGACCTTAGGCCTTCGGCCAACACACCCTTAAGGGCAAGGCAAAGTGGGACAAGGAGGCCGACGAAGGCGCCTCCAACTGCCCCAACAAAAGGAAGAACAAGCGGCGGTGTATGGGCTCGCTCATGGCCAGCGCCGACCGCAAAGGGGGCCGGAAGCCCGCGGAGGGTACCTCGGACCACTTTGAGAAGCTGCTCGAAGGGCCATGCCCGAACCATGCTTTCCCCATCAAGCACCTGTACAAAGACTGCGTCCTTTTGAAGCGGTTCTTGTCTAGAAGCTCCTACAAGGGAGAGCATAGGAAGGAGCCCAGCTAGATGAAGTGCGCGACGTCGCCCTCCTTCGCTCGGCCAAGTACCTGCAAGCGTTATGTTGGAACCACAACCATCGAGTGCGGGGTCGGGCCTTCAAATGTTGGGGACCTAGTGCTCCGCCTTGCCTAGAGCAGCAAGGACCGCCATAGGGGGGACCGTACGTCGTCACGGAGATGCTCCGGCTAGGCACCTACAAGCTCAAGACCATCAACGGCGAGGTCTTCCTCAATGCCTAGAACATCGAGCAGCTACGTCGCTTTTACCCTTAGTCTTCCCATTCCAAAGTTTCCAATATGCTTATCAAACTAAGTAATGTTTCTGCAAAAACCGAAAAATGTTACCTCCTATCGGGTTCGCTTCTGATCTGATCGGTCTTCATTAACACCCGACCCTAGCAACTACCTAGGGTCGAGTTTTACTCGAGGGCTGATAGGAGTACATTTATTTAGAAATATTTTCCCATCCGACTCTTCTTTTTTATGACAAGACCTAGAAACAAGAGTTGCCAAAAACTAACGACAAGTAAAACTGGTCGGAATGCAAAACGCCTACTCCCCGACAGCTACGGCATCGCTTGCTCACCAGCGTGATCACTACTTAGTCGCTCGCAACTTAAGTTTCTAATGCCTTAACATAAAACAAGGGTTGGATCACAACAAACTTTATATATATATATATAGAAAGGCCAAACAACATTTCCGGCCATAATAAAAGTCTTTACAAAAAGACCGACGTCGGACTCAGCTATCTAACTAAACACCCTTGGGCAGGATTTCTTCTCCGACCTTCTCCGCTAGGTCCTGCACTGGGGGAGCCACTTCCATCTCAATTTCATCTAGCTCAGCATCAGTGTAGCCAGGCATGAAGCCCTCACTGATCACCGGCAGGTCAATGTTAATGTAGTGGGAGCGGACGATGGTGAACGCGCGATGGACGCTGGTGTACAGGGCCTCCCTTGTGAGTGCGCGCGCCTGATCTAGGATTAGGGTAACCCGAACTACGAGCGAGCTCGTCTCCATGGCCGGGGCGACCCCGAGGTCATTGAAGACCAACCCGATGGTAGCGCGCAAGGTGTCATGGTCGTCGCTCTTCGA